AACGATGCCTTCACCGTGCCTCCTCGTCGCTCTTGATATTTATAGTTGACAGTAACGACGTACCTGTACACCGTAGATGGTGCAACGTCGTCGTTCTGGCTTTGTATAACGGGGATAAAATGGGGCAATGATTTCGACCGTGAAAGTGCCTCGGAACGAAAATAAGTTCGACCGGTTACTTGTTAAGTTAAAGAGCTACTTGACGTTTCGCACGCTCCTGCGAGTCTTCAATTCTCCGTGAGCTGAGTTACGCAGAAGATGAGTGAATAGGGTGAGTCGTGTCTGTCTAATGTCGCTCGCGGAGATTAAAATCGAATTTCTAATTAGGACGTATTCGGTGGATTTTATGCGTAATTAGAGTCGGCCTGTGGGATATTTCTTCTGTAGGATACATTAGAAGTATAGAAGTATAAAAATTTAGGTTGCGGTTAGAAGAATACAAATTAAGAAAATTGAAAATTCTGTAGTTTAAATTTTGGTTAGAATTTTATCGAATAAATTATTCAAATAAGTAGAAATAAATTATCTGACCATTCGATGAATTTGATGTATAATTATTACCCAGAGGCACCATTCAACTAACAAAAATTTATTCGGTTAAGTATTTCAAGTAATTTCGGATAATATTTAACACTGCTCGTAACTAATACGAAAAGTGAAATGTGCTCGATCCAAGGTATCCCCGCACGATTGTTAACATCCACGGAACGAGCATGGTTTCATTGTAGCTGATACCGGAATCCCCTTTCCCAGGATTCTCTTTCTACCCGTGAATGTCACCTTTCTTTATCAACGCTGTTACAATAATCCTCGCTCCGAAGAGAAACCTCCCCAGGAGGAATCTGAACGAAATTCGCGACCTTAACAAACGGAAATTTTGACGGAAGAGAGGAGTACGATAAAAAAAGTCGTAACAAAGATGCTGGATATTGTCGGAAAATTTTGAGTACGTTCATTCATCATTTCGAATACGTTTTCACGTTAATCATTATACTTCCTATCAACAATTATCTTTTAATAAATTAAGCAAATGATAGATATAGATATAGAATAGAATTGTTTCATTTGAAAATCTGAAATCAATTTCATTGTAACATCTCTAAAATCAAAATCGCACGATTTAACTGATTACCATAATTATATATTTCCTGCGCGATTAAAAAACCGGCGATAACGGCGTAATCGCGTTTTAATTCGTGTTATCAATCATCAGAATTCTATTTTTCTGTAACGAGAAGAATCTGAGATTTATGAGTTCGAGTCAGCTGACCACTTCTCGTCATTAATCATCGATGAACCTAATTTTCGCATAAGATCAAGTAACTTGAACGATTTTAATCGTTTGAAAAAAATTAATTTCTAAAAAAGACAATAATTATGTACTTGTATTTTTCACAAACGTATATGTTGTTTTGTGAAGATCCGAAGATCGTTCTATGCAATTAATAATTATCCGAACGGGAACAGGATCAATGTAGGTCCTTTCGTGTGACGTCAGTTCCAGACGTTTTACGGTGCGAATCGTTTCATTGGTACTGGGGACCAGACCTTATGAATCCTTACAGTAGGCGACGTAAACTCGTGAGCGTAATCCGTCTTTATTCGACGATTCAAGGAACGCGGTTGCACCTTGATCGGTGAACGACCGACACTAGGATGCGCTGCACGATTTTACGATTGGCCGGGGTTCAGAGGTTCCGCGTGAAATCTGATAAATTTGTTCAACCACGAGGTCCATGAAATTTCCGTCGATTGTTTCGTTGAATTTAGACTTTACACCTATCAATTCTAATTTACTTAACTAATTCATTTTAATTCCTTTAATTCATTCGAATGTTAGTTCTAAACTTAAAAGTTTGTAGTGAACATTATATACTTGTACATGTTACTACAAATTACGTTCAGATAATAATTTTAAAAATCTTCTGGTTTTAATTCCATGCAAGTAAAAATATATCTAACGATTTCTAGATTGGCATCTTTGTTTTTATTGCTTCCAGTGAAGGTATAGTTGTAATATGTGGTAAAAACGTGCACGTCCAAAGTTTCAAACAGGAATACAAGTATCTTGTTTTAGAAAAAGAAAAGTTTTGTTTCTCGATGAAAATTGTACGGATGGAAAGGATGCAATCGGAATTTATGAACGATATGTGCATTTGAATGCTTCCCTTTCTGTTTTTACGGTAATTGAATAGTCAGTCGCCTTTCCGGTTCGGTTTAGCGGGCCGCGTTACGATAAGGGAACGCGTGCTTCCGTTTCAAGAGATAACTGGGCCACGTGTGAGAAACACCAGGGGACCACGCGCCATCTCCTCAGAATTGCGAATATTTCTTAAAGATTATTAGACCAGGCAGATCTCTATAGGATTTCCATGGTGATCATGCGAAGTCATCGGTTAGGTTCCACAAAATGCATCAAGAATTTTCAGACGTTGGTCATGGATGAATCTTTACATTTACAATACAAATTTAGAAAATGTACTATCAAACATTGTTATTTTGTATTATTCAGATTTGTAACGAAGTTTGCAAACTCAATCCGATAAATATAAGTATTATTTTTCTTTACTACATCGAAATGAAAGACTGCATTACGTTTAAATATAAAATGCATTCTGTAGTAATGTGTAGATAATCTATAATTTATGTAATACACGTTTTTTATATGAATATACTTAAACGTCAATTAAATTTTTATATGTCATAAATTAAAATATGTCACTGCTATGTAAAGTTACTTTTAATATAATCAGATTTTATATTAAAGTGTAAGAGATATTTGAGCGTTCCGAGGTTATCCAACGTTTCATGTTGTTCTAAAAGTGGAACGGTCCGATACAATACAGCCGTGTTACGACAGGCGTGCAGTGGTATCGTATCGAGATACAGTAACTAACACGCAACGATCTACGGATTCGATTGTCCATTTGCGTGCAAAAGTTTGATCAGCTGTGATGTTGTGCAACTCACAATCAGTCGATGCGATAACAAAACTCCATTCATGTACTCTACCTATTTTTAATTTATATTCTGCGCGTACGAAAATAACGCTGATTTTATTAGTGGAAAACAATTCTTTAATTATTACATTAAAATAAAAATTAAGTTAACACATTATTTTCGAATATTCAAAAGTATAAAAATTCAATTCTAAACATTCATCTCTAAATTTGTTGTTATTCAATATTGAAAATTATGATGTAACATATTTAGTATGTAAAAATCAATATAAATACATATTTTTATTCTATCAGACTAAAAAATCGGAATCGAAAAATCCTTTGAAAGCCCTGTAGATTTGAAAGATGCATTTGATGCACATGTCGACGAACTCGCGATAAGTAGAAACGGTTAGCGAAGAACAGACATATCAGTCAACTTTCGTACAAGACACACTTGCTCAACAAATATTCAAATTTCTATCTCCAAATTAGACAAAAACCTCCACAATTCCCTAAAAAATATCATCCTAAAATACACAACTCTACATGAGACCGGAAGCAATTCAAAAATATATATTACCACAATATCAATCAGACACTAAATACTAAACCAATTTCAATATTTTCCATTCCCCTCGATCGCTGCACAAAAATAAAAACAATCAAAAATAAAAGAAAAATTTCATTTACCACTCAGATTGTTTCACTAAAAGTAAAATAAACATTCCGTTCCACACTACTCCTCACATTTTATAAATCTGCATATCTCGACGTTGACACAGACTTTTAACATCTGAATATAATGAAGTCAAATTCCCAGAAGAGGGTATCCGGCGTTAGAGTTTTAATCTGCCCGAATATCTGGCACGCGTACGATCGGTAAACGTTTCCGGCTCGGCGGCGGAGTTTCAAGTTCCGTGGGAACTGTTGGTGGAATTAAAGTGCATCAGCTGCGCGCAGGGGCGAAGCTGAGCGCGCGGAACGGGGCTGAAATCGCGATGCATCTTTCACCTCGTTGCTCGACTATGCGACCGCTTTGTCCGCGCGGCAGTCTCCCGTTTCTCGCGCGGAACGCGGGCGCTTTGGCTTGGCGAGCGGCCAAGCGGCCGCGAGTGTCGTCGAGTATTCTTGCATCTGCCGCCAATAAACGGGTTATGAATCGCGGCAATTATACGCGACATGTTCTCACCGCCCGTTTAATTCACTAACCGCGGGAGGGGCGCGGGGCGAGCGAACGGTGCCACTCACGGCCGTTACCGCGCGAACGATGCACTCTTGAGCGACGGCGCTCCCCAAAATGCATTTCACTTGAGAGGCGTTTGAAAACATGGCTTGATAACATTGTGCAGAATAATTCTCCTGATTTATTGGAGGACCGCTACTTCAGATCACCGCAGAGTATTTCGGAAAGAGAAATTGGAATTTTAAGACGTAGCTTTTGTGGTAGAGGGTTAAGCTGAAGGGTTAAGATGAAGATTTTCAATGAAATTTTGTATAATTCTTTTATCTCAGTGCAAAGGTGATGTTCGTTAGTATCGAAGCTTTTATAGAAATTGGTATCACATTAATTATAAATCCACTATGTCGATTACAATAGATGATTCTGCTATACCAAAGGCATTTAAATAGTTCGCTGCAAAAGTTATTACGTCAATCACGTCATAATCGTATATTGTTATTACATTAATTATAAATCCACAATGTATGATTATGACGTAATTGACGTAATAACTTTTGCAGCGAACTATTTAAATGCGTTTGATACAGCAGAATCATCTATTGTAATCGACATTTACCGTTAGCCAAGTTACACTTCAATAACAATAACTTCAATGAATAATCTAAAGTGTCGAAGCTCAAATCCTTTCGCAAAGTCTAACCAAAAGACATTTTCCGAACGTCGAACCAGTTACATCCTTTGCAAATGAAACACAAGTCCCATAAACACCATCAACGTAAACTGAAAAACTCCAGACCCAACATCTCAATGATAACCAAATCTCCCTTCTCCAAATGAAATCAGCCCGAAAAGAGCAGACTGTCGCATTCTCGACTAACCTGACTCAAAGTACTCCCGCCTCCCGTAAGCAGCAGCCACTTGCTGCAGGATGATCCCGTTGGCGCCGTGTATCCCGTGCGACAGCACCTGCACCATCACCCCCACGACCAAGACCACCCATCCCCATCCTCCTTCCGGGTAATAATGTTGTCTCAAAGTGTGCAACTGCTTGAGATCAGCTGCCAATTGCTTGGCCGTCTGCGTTTGACGGTCGGCGGGGGTTTGCTCGTTCCCGCTGCACGCGACGCCGCTATCGTGCATCGACAGCCGCGGCAGGGACCTGCTGCGATAGAGCGCCGGGGCGGTTAGGGGAGCCTCGTGGCCGGCCGCGCGGCCGTTGCCATCTTTCTCCTCGTAACCGTCGCCGTCCAGATAACCGGCGTAGCCCCGCAGATAAAGCTGTCTGTCCTGCGAGAAGTGCGGCTCGCCGCAATTCTCGCACTCGGCCCCCTCGACCCTCGACCCCCTCCCGCGAATGGCCGCCGCGTCGTTGGAGGATCTCGTGTCCTGATTCGTCGATCGAGACGTCCAGCTCCCGGCTACGTCTCTTCGCCTCTTCCCGCTCGACCCGGCCGAACTGTCTTCGAGGGAATCAACGACTTTACGAGCCAATTCTGCCGCAGGGACCGCGGACCCTTCGACCTTATCCGAGATCAGGTCCGGGTGATTCTTCGGAACGCGGTCGGAGCTGCGAGAATCTGCTTGATCCTTGCTGATGCTCTTGATAGAGTCTGCTCTAGAGGCTAACTCGGAGATCGATGTTCCTGGGATGTTACTCGACCCCGGTGTCGTGATCTGGGAACCGTCGGTGATTTTGAATTCCACGCTGGGACGCTTTCGATTGGACGATTGAAAGCTGGCTGCGTCCGTTTCTGAGTTGTTCGGATTGTTTTTTGGTTGATCGCTGTACTCGATGGGTTTGTTCTTGGTTTCCTTGTTTTGGTCGATGAGGTTCTCGGTGAGATGGTTAGAGAGTGAATTGGTTTCTGATGTTGCGTCGTTGTTAAGTTCCTCGGAGATGCGTCTTGTTATTTCTTCATTGTTGCGGGTGGGGTAGTCTGAGTCTTTCGAAGATCTTTTAGCGGTCTGCTCGTCGCTGGTCTCCGAACCGACGCTAGTGGCAGCCATTATCCGGCTCTCTCAGAGACGTTCCTCAGCTTCGCGTCTCCTTCCTCGTCGTCTTCTCCTTCTGCGTCGTCGTTCTTCTGATTCCTCTGCCTCCTCTGGCTCTGCCATTTCCTTTCCACCGGCGGATACCTGATTCGTTGCTGGCTGTTTCATCAGCGGCGTGCAGGGATCGTAAAATAAATCATTTTCCCCCGTTTACGCGCGGGATTGCAACCGGTGAAACGTATCTAGGATCATCCATTGCAAACTGTTTACAAAACGTGGTCGGCTGCCATTCATTCTGACATCCTTTGAAATTGAAAGTTAACCAAACGATTATTCTTAAATGAAATTACTCTTTCACTTGTTGATCCTTATTCATTCCTTTCTTTTCCGCTGCTCGCAGTTTTAATTAATTTTCTTTTCTTTCTTAAGACACCGTCGACAGTGATGTAATATTATTGAATGCGCGAGGTTTGACATTTTTATTTATCATGAAGACCAATTGTCACGAGTGCGGCACTGCGATGGAAAATCGGAGTCGGGTTAAGAAATCGCCGGCGCGGAGGTTGTGCAATTTCGTTGAATGTCGCCGCCCGGTGATCTCGCTGTCGGAGACGGTGTAATTCGGGTACAGGTATCTCGGTGCCGATCTAAGCTCCTCGAGGACACCAGTCACACAAGGAAGCGACCGTTCGCGGCACGCTCAGCACGCAAACTGGCCGAGAACCGCCGTGGCCAAGAATCGTGCGGCTCTCTGCGACAGCTGCGCTTCTGGAGTCGGCCGGATCAACCGAAGCCTCAGGAATCCCTCTCTCTTTTTCTGGACCCCCTCCCGACGGTTCCTCCAGACATTTTGCTTGGTTCGCTGCGTGTCCGTGTCACCGATCTACGATTCTTTTTTATCAACGAAACCGCGATTGAAAAACAATCAGACGTGCACAGAAGTAGCATCTCAGAGTCAAGTAGCATCTACCCATGTGAATCTCGTATTTCTAATTTGATATTAACCCTTTGCTCGAGAGGTAACTCTCACTCACCTGATTTCACACTAAGAAGCTATAAAATTTGATATATAACATTATACCTTATATAACGCATCAATTCGAGGCATATTGAAATAAAACAACTTTATTCTTCAATGTACGTTTGATTACTCTGCGAGTTAGTTTCGAAAAATATCTTTATCTCGTCAGAAAATGAAACTTCCGAGTGCGAAGGGTTAACTTATATAAGTTAAAAATACATAAACAAATAAACGTAAATTATTTAGATAACTAATCAAAAATACATATCCAAAGATTTGCCTATACTCCCAACATGATAAATGCTTTCGTTCAATATCCAAATTCGAAAACATAAACCGGAACCAATCATTACACCCGACTACCAGAATTCATAAACAGAAATTTCCCTTCGACCATTCTAAACAACACCCCAACGAACGCAGTACAAATGCAAATACTCGAGGAACATTCCGCCAGATCCATTCGTACAATTCCCCCCTGCACTAAGCCCGGCACCTAGAAGGAAACATCAACCCCGACGGAAGCAGTTAGTCGAACAGCCCCGAAACTATCTCGAGTTTAATCTGTCCACGCAGGACGCGTATCGTCCCACGCAGCCCTCCGCAGCGGTCGTCTTTACGGCATTACATAATTACAGCCGGGACTGTCGCGGGATCGTCGGTAATTTTATCAGGCTCGGGAAAGTGAAAGGCCCGGGCGATCCAAACTTTTTCATTTCCCCAGAAGAAGCCCTCGGCCCCCCGCTGACGGCTTTCACGCGGCCCTTGCGCCCTAAATCCCAACCCATTGTGGCCGCTGCTCCGACGAGGTTATTTTCTCGTTCGCCGGAATATATGGATTCGCGAACGCGAGGCGTTCGCTTTACGTCGGCCCCCGGCTTGTATCATCAGCGGGCATTACGCCGCGCGTCTCTGTACCGGCGCGACGAGCTATAAACAAGGGCATAAATTTTGCGGTCTCGAGCCGGTGTCGATGTTAACACGCCCCGCGTATAATGAATATCATCGCCGCGGCGGCTCGAGCGTTCCGATTTCGATTGATTGCACGCCGATCGTGATCGTGTCAACCGAAGCTTGTTGGGACTTGGTTTATATTGTAGCTCGAACACCTGCGCGGTAAGAGTTTGGAAAGTATAGTAGGTTTCGGGGAATCGTTCGTTCGCGAGTGGTTCGCTTGTAAGTTCGTTATGTGGTAGGAATTAGAATTGTAATGTTTACTTTCTGTGGGAATGGCGGAATGCTAACGGATAACAATTTGGAAAATTCGAATGTGACTTTTTAGGGAAATGTTGGAGTATAAATGTGATAATTCGAATGGCGAAGGATGGTTCGAGTTTTTAGTAAAGATTCATGTTCTGATTTTGTGTGACTGTTATTCGTGTGATGATTATATAAAAATGTAAATGGGGAAGCAGACTGATTTATGTAAGTTTATTGAATTCGAATTTTGTATCGACGTATTTTAATATTCATCGAAGTCAATTTATAATGTCTGGTAAGTGACATTTTGTTGATCTGTACACTGAGAAGGCTTGAGTTTCATCTTTGTTTTAGATATATTAATATACATATATAATTAAATGTCGATGTAAAATGGAGAGCAGAAAGCGTTGAATCGTTCGATCAATTTTGTCCGAACCAGTGTGGTACGTCAAGAAAAGAACCGAGTGGCAGCTATTACACGTCAGGATCACGTGCAGCGGTTCTGAAGACTGACAATCCTAGACATCGATTGTTCTAGATCTCATTTCTGAGTATATATTGTTGTAACATCGAAAGGATAACTTGTGACGTTTTTGTTTCATTTCTTCTAATATAGAAAGCATGACATCTTATTATTACAATAATAAGAACATAGTAAGGATTTAATGATTTTATTAATTTATAACTATCATTTAACAATTACTAATTATTAATTATCAATTTATTCCAAATTGATACTTCAGTATCAGGAACTAGTTAGTATTTTAAAAATAATTAAAAAACTGAATGAAACAAATCAGTTAAAAAATAATACATAAGTGTCACTTTAAAATATTTATTTGTAATATAGAAAGCATGAATATATGTTTCATTTATACCAGTGCCCTTTTAGTGAATTCATTAATAGAAATTCCTATCCGTTACAAATTGTCCGTCACTTTTGCAAACATGGCTGATGCCTTCTTATAAAGATCAATAAACGTTTTATTGTTACAGATCAACAATTGTTGTATGAAAAAGAATCAAATGAATATACATAAAAGAGGGGAATCGGAAGAAAAATAGAAGAATTCAAAGAACAAAGTTCAATAAAAGGAACAATGTACTTTGTGAATTTTCTGAGTGATTGATCCAATATCTTCCGATGTTTGATCAACGGGTAAAAAAGGATTACGTGGCGAGCAATTTTTTAAGTATCGACCGCCTACTTTCTCAAGTCGTTACACTGGGCGTGAACGTAGAGAGCGCTCCGATGTTCTTTCTGTTGGGTCGGTAATTCAGATTCGAAATCTTCAAAAAAATCCCTAGAATTTTCACAATAACTTCGACGTCATCGTCGTTGAAACAGCTTGAAATGCTAGTCACGGTTGTAGAAAACATGAAAATCCCCCCGAGCTATGAAGCATTGTATGAATACACAATGCTTCTTCGTAAAAATACCAGAAAGATTGGATTGTTAATATTCCAGTCACAAGATGCTGAGAAAACTTAGCCGTGACGTAAGGACCACATTTTGATTACTTCATATATGTTTAGAGCAAGGAAAAACTAGATAAGATCTCGAACTTAAAGAAAGTGAAACTGACGTGTTCGTGAGATGTACAATTAACCTGAATAAAGTTAAATTAATTTTAGTCACGTACTCGTCAACGTTCAGAAATCAATGATCCTTTCCTATTAAATTTTTCTAATACTTCATAAAAAGTTTGTTACATTTAATGACACATTGTCACCACGAAGTGTGACGTGTATCTATAGCATTAGCTGGAAAACAGAAAGTAATCATATTGATAGATGTATTTATCGATTGACACCGAAATGGAGGCGCTAATAAGACAGATCGACTCAGAGAAATGTGATAAATTCCTTTCATAACTGTCACCGTAAGTTTTGTCTCAGGGAAACTCTTCTCTCATATGTTACCTAAAGGTGTTCCTTGAAAGAAGAGCACGAAGAAACGAGGAGAAGACAAATTGGCAAAGAAATATTACCTGAAGTCGTTAAGGGGTAAAATAGAAGTTGTTACTGTTGGTTTCACTGGATGTGAATAGATGTCTTCAGAGTTGATATGTGTCAAGCTCTCCTCTTATTTCGTAATCAATAGAAACGTAAAGGGTAACATTTAGTACTTCGCGATTGTAATGAAACTTTCAGTTACACGGGCAAACTTGGATAAGTGGAATCGTAAGAGAGGAAATAACATCTTCAAATTACAGAGATTTCGTCTTATCATGTTTTCGAGCGAAAGAAGTTTAACGAACGATGATTCGACTTATAGAGATTTTACAAAGGTTTTGACCTATATGTAAATATGGATTTCGATTTCTTGAGATTGAACTTCTGTATTCGAATTGTAGAGACTTCAGTTATCACGGTTTGACTGTACAAAGAATTTCTTTTGCAATTGATTAATATTTCATTATACAATGGTATACTAATATTTCCATGCAATTAGCTAAATATATTTTAAATCGAACTTAAAGCGTTTAAATTCAAATCAGCGTCCGAATCTGAGATTAAATGCGAGGAGTTGAGAGTTTACTTTCGGCATTACAGACCGTAAGTTTAATTACCGGCTTTAATTAAATCCTCCGAGTAATCAATGATGCAACCGTGGTTCACGACATCAAGTTTAATCTCTCAGTGCTATTAAAGTTTGAAAGTAATATCTTCCGCGGCATCGAAACCGAGGATTTAACTACATTCTCCAGCTGTCCGCTAAACACCTTCACGGAGCTGTACCAATCGTTCAGCTTTCGCAATTAAAAACCAGCTTCGATAGAGTGCGATAACGCAGCAAGCTCCGCCGAACTTTCGGCGTTCACTTGCATAACCAACTAAACCATCTGCTTCTCGTAAATTTTAGGTAAGACTATTAAACCGTGCGCGGACTCGTCTAACGAAGTGGCGTTTCCTTTCATCTTCGGCGTTCAAACGTTTCTTAACGGCGAAACAGGCCAGTGCTAACCTTTAATTAAACGTTTGTTGTCGTCATTTGTCATCGAAGTGAAACTAATATTCCAATGAAACGCGATTTATGGGAACCGCGGTCGTCCTCGTGCTACAGGAAATGCGTAAACGGTATACTAAATTTCAAATGCACGGCAACTAAAATTAAATTCCTCCCGTTCTAACGATACGAACTCCAAATTCTAGTCTAAATACTCCCATATAACATTACGGTCAAAATGGCATATCAAACTAAGAAGAACATATCAAAATTCGAACAGATTGCAACTTAGAAACAAAGCTTACCCACAATTTAATTACCCAAACATTAACGCTCATTAAAATCTCCTCCAACAGTATCTCGTATCAACGAAATGCGCCAAAGTAGGATTCTTAAATCTCTCCGACACAGAAAACCCAATGCAAACTGCGATACACAGGAAGGAGTTAAATCCTTCCTAACCCCTCACCCACAGAACCTATAACACAGCTGCCCGACAATCCCGATAAGAACTCGCACGGCA